AAAAAGCATTTAACAAAGTACAACATCCATTCATGATAAAAACTCTCAACAAAGTAGGGCTAGTGGGAAAAAAACTCAGCATAATAAAGGCCACATATGAAAACCCACAACTAATATCATGGGAAAAAACTAAGAGCTTTTCCTCTATGGTCAGGAACATGACAGGGGTGTCTACTATCACCACTGTTATTTAACATAGTACTGGAAGTCCTAGCCACAGCAATCAGACAGCAAAAAGAAATGAAAGGCATCCAAATTGGCACAGAGGAGTCAAACTTTCACTATCTGCAGATGACAACATACTCTCTAGAGAAAAGACTGCACCAAAAATTGCTAGAACTGATACACGAATTCTGAAAATTCATAGGATACAAAAACAACATCCAGAAATCTCTTGTATTTCTATACACCAATAATGAAGCAGCAGAAAGACAAATTAAGGAATCAATTCCATTTACAGCTGTACCAAAAACGATTAGGTATCTAGAAATAAACCTAACCAAAGAGGTGAAAGACCAGTACTCTGAAAACTATGAAACACTGATGGGAAAAATTGAGGATGCCACAAATAAATAGAAAAACATTCCATTCTCATGGAATAGAAGAACAAATATTGTTAAAACGTCTATACTACCCAAAGTGATCTACACATTTAATGCAATCCCTATCAAAATACCAACAGAGCTAGAACAAACAATCCTAAAATTTGTATGGAACCATGAAAGATCCTGAATAGCCAAAGTAACCTTAAAAAAGAAAAGCAAAGTTGGAAACATCACAATTCTCGATTTCAGGTTATATTATAAAATAGTATGGTACTGGCATACTAATAGACACACAGATCAGTAGAAAATAGAAACCCAGAAATGAACCCACAATTATATGATCAATTAATTTTTGACAAAGGAATGAACAGTCAATGGAAAAAAGTCTCCTAAACAAATGGTGTCCATAAAACTGGACAGCATTATGCAAAAGAATGAAACTGGACCACTTTCTTACACCGTAAACAAAAATAACTTCAAAATGGATGAAAGACCTCAATGTAAGTCAGGAAACCAGTAAAACTATAGAGGAGAGCATAGGCAGTAACCTCTTTGACATTGGTTATAGCAACTTCTTACTAGACACATCACCAGAGGCAAGGGAAACAAAAGCAAAAATAAACTATTTGGACTTCGTCAAGATAAAAAGCTTTTGCAGAGGGAAGGAAACAATCAACAAAGCTAAAAGGCAGCCTATGGAATGGGGGAAGATATTTGCAATTAACATCTCTGATAAACAGTACCCAAAATCTGTACAAACTTATCAAAGCTAATACCCAAAAAACATGAAGACATGAACAGACATTTCTCCAAAAAGGCATCTAGATGGCCAACAGGCACATGAAAAGATGCTCCATATCACTCATCATCAGGAAAATACAAATCAAAGCCACAATAAGATACCACCACCACACACCTGTCAGAATGGCTAAAATTAACAACACAAGAAACAACAGGTGTTGGTGAGAACGTGGAGAAAGGGGAACCCTCCTACACTGTTGATGGGAATGCAAACTGGTGCAGCCACTCTGAAAAACACTATGGAGGTTCCTCAGGAAATTAAAAATAGAACTACTCTATGATCAAGCAATGCAGTACTAGGTATTTACCCAAAGAATACAATACTAATTCAAAGGGATATATGTGCACCCGGATGTTTATGGCAGCATTATCTACAACAGCCAAACTACAGAAACAGCCCAACTATCTATCACCTGATAGACAACTATACTGATGTGGTGTGTGTGTGTGTGTAATGAAATATTATTTAACCTTAAAAAAGAATGTAATCTTGTCATTTGCAAGGATGTGGATGGAGCTAGAGAGTATTATGCCAAGCGAAATGAGTCAATCAGAAAAAGAAAATGCCATATGATTTTGCTTCTATGTGGAATTTAAGAAACAAAACAAGGAGCAAAGGGGAAAAAAGAGAAAGAGAGACAAACCAAGAAATGACTCTTAACTATAGAGAACAAGCTGATGGTTACCAGAGGGAAGGTGGTTAAGGGGATGGATGAAATAGGTGATGCGGACTGAGTAGGGTGTTTGTTGGGATAAGCACTGGGTATTATGGGGAGTGCTGAATCACTAAATTGTACATCAGAAACTAATATACACTGTATGTTAACTGGAATTGAAATGAAAACTTAAAAAAAATCACTGTAACACTCAACTGTGTCATCTGTAGTACCTAAGCCTCATTTGTCTATATGTAAAGTGGACATAATAAAGGAGGTCAAATTCAGACCCACATCGGGAATAGTTCTTTTTGTGTGTGTGTGTGTGTGTGTGTGTGTGTGTGTTTGTTTTTTAAGTAGACTCCATGCCCAGCATGGAGCCCAACACAGAACTCAAAACATACAACTCTGTGATCAAGACCCAAGCCAAGATCAAGAGTTGGGACATTCGACCAAGCCACCCAGATGCTCTGGGAGTAATATTCATGTATAAGGACCAGTTAACTACTATTCTTGCTTCCAGCTCTTCACAGCTTCAAATCCATCATTCACATTGCAAGCAAAATTAATTCCTAAACTTGAATCCAAGGTTTAGATTTTGGCTCCACTATTTGGGTAACCTGGAGTCGGTGGTAGTTCCAGAATTCCAATACAGGCTGGAGGAATTAGTCAAAGATGAGACTAAAGGACTTGTCATGAAACTGCATTTGTATAACAAGCACACTGATTTTATTGAGAACATATGTTTATTTGGAGGGCTTGGTAGAGAAAGGAGTTTATTCCAGCATCCTCTTAATGCCACCATACCCATATAGTGCATTCAGGCTGCTATAGCAAAACACCACCGACTGGGTAGATTACAAACAATAGAAATTCATTTCTCACAGATCTGGAGACTGAGAAATCCAAGATCAAGGCAACAACATGATTGTGGTCTGATGAGAGCCCTCTTCTTCATAGCTGGAACCTTCTCACTATGTCTTCACATGGTGGAAGGGGCTAGGAAGCTCTGTGGGAACTCTTATAAGGATGCTAATCTTATTCGTGAGGGTTCCACCCTCATATCCTAAGCACCTCCCAAAGGCCTTACCCCTCCTAATTAACTATCACATTGGGCATTAGTATTCAACATATGTATTGGGAGTGGGGGGAACACATTCAGACCACGGTAATACATTAACCTCTCTATGTTTCACCTATAAAATGGAAGCATTATAGTACAGTCCTCATAGGATTGTTTTAAGGACTAAACAAAATGAAGTATGATGCGTTCAAGTGCCTGGGACACAGTAAGCCACCCAGTAAGTTTATTATGTCACTCCTCTCCCCAAAACTCTAAAAATGACTCTCTACTGAATAAACACAGAGCCCTCAGATATCCATCTAGCCACAAAGTACCTTTCTAACTCTGTCCCTTCCAACACTCATCCAGAGAGTCTACTCATTATTTACAGAGGAACATTGCCACCTGTCAACATGGCTCACTCTTTCAGTTCCTCAAGTTTCTGCTCAGACATTAGTTTATCAGAGTAGGTCTTTCCTGCTTGCCCTCCATAAAGGAACATACATTCACTCATTCACTTGCTGGCAACTTTATAACCCCCTTACCACTCTATTCTTAGTAGCACTCCTAAATCTATAGATTTAGACAGGTGTATTTTCTGGGTCTCCCTACCAGAAAGTAGGAACATAAACTTCAGGAACATAAAGATTCTGGTTTTGCACCAGGTAGTGCATATACTCTCAGGTCCTAGAACAGTATTAGCACACAGAGGTATTCAATAAATATTTGTTATATAAATGTTGACACAGAATTTCTCTATTATGTTTCCTCGACCTAAGATGCCCTCTCTGCATTGCCATCTTCTAAAATTCTACTCATTCCTCAAAGCTTACTCAAATACTCTTCTATGAAATTTCTGATTCCCCCAAGTAGAACCCATTGCTCTTACAACCATTACTCGATTATAGTTTGAGCTAGCTCTAGTTTAGTCTGTCTTGTAATTTTTACTATCTTGTTTTTTGCTTCTACCTGTATATTGTAAGCTCTTTAAAGGCAGGATCCATGTCTCACCTTTTATCACACTCCATACCAAATTCCCCACCCCTCACCCACTATCTGACAGTACCACATTGCCACCAAAGGGACATAGGTTAAAGGAGGAAGGGACTCAATATTTGCTTAACTATTTAAAGGGAAGGACATTCCAGAGTGAAAAAAAATAGAAGCAGATGCTAAATTGTGTGAAATGGTATGGTTGTAGTGACTTTTTAAGTAGATATAAAACTGCCATACCTCAGAAAGCTTGAAGGAGGTATAGGTAAATTATGTCCACAAAAACTCTGTTAATATGATTACAGAATTTATTAGCAAGCAAAATATTAGTAAAGTCTTTATTTTTCAGAAAAGGGAGAAAGTTCAAAACATTCTGGAAAAAGGCGAGGAAAAATACCCCTAAAACACCCAGTAAGAGTACCTGGCTGGCTCAGTTGGTGGAGCAGGCAACCCTTACTCTTGGGGTTGTGAGTTCAAGCCCCATGTTGGGTGTAGAAATTACTCAAAAATACAAGAAAGAAAGAAGAAAGAAAGAAAAGAAAAGAGAAAAGAAAAAAGAAAGAAAAGGAAAGGAAAGGAAAGGAAAGGAAAGAAAAGAAAAGGAAAGGAAAGGAAAGAAAAGAAAAGAAAAGAAAAGAAAAGAAAGAAAAGAAAAGAAAGAAAAGAAAAAAGAAAAGAAAAGAAAGGGAAAGGAAAGGAAAAGAAACCCAGTAATTGGCTAGGTGACACCTTTTAGTTCCAATGTAGTTCTTTATGACATCACTAAATTTATCCCTGAATCACTATGACTGATGATGTTATATCATTATAACATCATCAATGTACATTTGCTGACTAGGATCTTAAATGTTGAGTGGAGCACCATATTAACTGATTCCCAGAGCAATTCTGCTCTGTGACCAATTTTTTGGCTATCGATTTTTTTTTCCCCAATTGAGAAGGATGTCCATTCAAGGACTATCCCTGACATTTTCTCTGTTGTTTATCTGCTTCCTTAGGGAGAGCTTCTGCATTTGTGATGGAACAATCTGGACAAAGGTCGGATGGGAGATTTTTCCAGAAGAAATGCATTATCTGAAAGTTAAGCCTTCTCCATCTCACTGTCTACCTTACCCTCTGGACAAACTATGCTGTAATTTTGCTAATATGGATATATTTCAGGGTTCTTTACAACTCCTTTATATTTTAGTACAAGCTGTCTTTTTAATCTTGTCTGTTTTATCTGTGCATTACCTGTGGATGAAATGGAAAAAACATCAAAAAAAGGTGAATTAGTAATGCAAATAGTAATAGTTATAAAATACTTAAGACTTTAAAACATAAGATTATCAGCTTCTTTGAGGGAAAGTAGCATGTCTTATTTCTCTTTGTAACATCTCCTTGCCTCCCCACCACTCACCCTTCAACATGTAGTACAGTATCTTGCACATACTAGGGACTCAGCAAATGTGTATTGAATTAGAAAGTCCTTAAAATAATATAGTTCATCCTCTCTCAAGTTACAAAATATATCAGGAATGTAGTAAGCTATAATGAGTAGAATGGGTAGGAGATGACGTTATCTGTCTGGGGCCATAGGTATAAGTCATTCAATCTTTCTCCGCTGCCTCATCCTTAAAATGAAATATCTGGATGAAAGACCTGTTAAGTCCTTTCCAGATCTATCTAAGAAAGATAAATATGAAAAAATAATAAAAAATATAAAAATAAAAAAAGAAAGATAAATATGTCAAAGTTACATATATTTTCCTTTTTTAAACAGACTATAAACTAATTTCTAATGTTAGGATAATTTTCTGGGAAATGGTACTCTTAAACTAATTTCCCATTTTGCCAATGGCACTGTATTTTGAGGCAATCTTAAAAGCTCATTGACCTTCACAAGAATTAGATATTTATAAAATTACTATGATTTGATTGCATTATACATTGAGGCTGCTTAGTAAGGAGAAAACATTTAACTAATATTCAAGTAATTTCTTTCAGCAGAATGCTCTTATAAAAAGCACATATTAAATGCTTGTTGATGGTGAGAATGATTACTATAAATTTATAAGGGAGCATATACAAAAGAGCATTTCTTCTGCATTTACACCTTTCTCCTACAGTAACCTTTCTTTTATATAGATAATATGTAGTGTTTAGAGTTTAATGTACATATCTAGAAAACAAATGTAATTTGAACTACAGTAAGAAAAAAATCTGTAATATCATCTTTTTCTTCTTTTAGCTGAAAAAACCAGCCTCCACAGATACATTTGGTAATGACCTGGAAAATCAGTCCATCTATGACATTGATCAAATACTCTGCCGGCTGGTGGCCACAACATCAATGATGACCAAGTACCTGAATCAGGTGTCCCATCATCCTCCAGCTAAGAAAGTCAAGCACCGAAAACTAAAGAGGAAGAAGTATGAAGGAGGAGAAGGAGCCAGGGGATACTAGACCTATCCATGTGCAAATGTAGCTCAGTTCAATATGAAGATTACACAAGAAATCTGTTGAGACAACTCATGTAAGGATAAAAATGGTTCTTTGAGAGCCTTTGTAATTTTTTTTTTTTGTCACAAACTTTACTGAATCTTTCCAAAGAAGTATGGGTTGAAAAATTATTCCCATTCAGCTAAAACAGCATCCATACTTACTAAAGTACCAAGAAAAAGATTGTATACAATCACTTCTTCATGTTTAAGTGTTTTTTTCTTTTTTGTGTGTTAGATTACTAATCATTAACCAAAATTAGAATAGAATCTTGATTTAGTGTTTCAATAAATCTCTGATTTAAATATTTGTGAAGTGCCTGGATAGCTCAGTGCCTGTTTCTTAATCTCAGCTCAGGTTTTGATTTCAGATCTCAGCTCAGGTTTTGATTTCAGCGTCATGAGTTCAAGCACCGTGGGCATGGAGCCTATGATGATACATAGATAGACAGACATAAATAGATAAAATTAATTTGTGATTTTTCTTACTTTCCCGAACGGATTTTTTGGCCACACAAAAAATTTTAATTTCCCATCTCAGATTACTAAAATAGTATGGAAATATTAAGAAAAAGAATAATTTTTTTAAGTATGAATTTTTTGGGATCCTTGGGTTACTCAGTGGTTGAACGTCTGCCTTCAGCTCAGGGTGTGATCCTGGGGTCCTGGGATCGAGTCCCATATCAGGCCCCCTGCACGGAGCCTGCTTCTCCCTTTGCCTATGTCTCTGCCTCTCTTTGTGTCTCTCATGATTAAATGAAAAAAATCTAAAAAGTAAAAGTAAAAATAAAAGTATAAAATTTTCCATTTTCATTATGGCAAATGGTGAATTAAGTATTAATATTTTTAAAATATCAGGCTTTGGTTGATAAGGTACCTCAATTTTTAGAACATACTCCATACATTTGTTGATCAGCCACCTCAATTTTTATAAGTACGGTGACCATATTTTTTTCCAAACAAATTGGGAGACTTATCTGAGGACTAGGACGGAAGATTTGATTTTAAAACATGTTGAAAACGCCAGAAAACATATTTCCCATAATACCTAAGGGAGGAAAAAGCTTTTGAAAAACAATTCTTTTAAAAAAATTATTGAAACAGTCATAATTCTACAATCTTTACAAGTAATAGAATAGTGCCTGCATAGGTTACTGTGGATTATTAAGTTTATGATTCCATTTTCCAGACTCTCCTCCTTACTTTTACTCTCCCTTAGCACACCCCTTCTCGTACATCTCCAAAAATGTTTCTTCCAACCCTTTGGAGTTCTGACCTCTTAACCAATTCCCTCTAAAAGAACACTGATACAAATTTATTTTAATGGGAACTCTTGAAAAGTCTCCAAATCTGAAAAATCCAAAGAAATTGATCTTTAATAGCAGAATTATCAACAGTGTGGAGGAGACTCTTTTTAGGGTAGGTATTGGAGTAGACAGGCTTTAACAGGATGCCTGGCCAACAGTCTGGAAAGTTAGAGACCTGTCCCAAGAGCATTCCCAAACAAACCCATGAGAAGCTGGATTAAACCAGACAGGCCCAAGACAAAGAAGGTGAGAAACCCTGATCAGGTAACGAAGAAAATATGCAAAACTCTGCTCCCAAGAAATCCCCTCCCCAAGTAATGAATATTCCACCCTCTAGTTAAGAGCTGTCAATAAAAGATAGAGACCCAAAGCTACGGCATGCAGCTCTCCCTTGAGCTCACCTACGCTCATATCTCAAGAATATACTCTCACTTTAATAAACTTTCCTACTTGCACCACTCAATCATTGTGGTTGGTCTGTCCTTGACACCAAGAGCCTTTGATGATATCCCGGGAATGGGTGAGGCAGAGGCCTCCGGGCCAGGGAATCTTCCCAGTTCATCTGGCAACATAAGGAGTCTTTAATCGCTTAAACCTCTCCAGGTGACTCCTACTCTAATTACTAGAATAAGAAATAGCAGTGGTTTAAACTCTCTTTAGGCTGATTAAACAAATGTTAAGTGTTTTCATAAGTAGTTTGTGTTTTTGACATTCCACAACTACATTACAATGAAGCTCCAATCCTTATAATTCTATCACTGATCTGAAAACAGAATATTAGTTTATAGTACTGCAGTCTCCTTTTATCTCAATTATTACTAAATGTTATGTATAATACCCCTAAGAATGTAAGGACCCAAACTAAACATATGGATATTAGGAAAAAGGAAACCACTGGAACTCCACACCCATAAATTCCAAACTGTTCCTTTTCAGAAAAGTTACAGTAAAATTTGTCCCTGGTTTGTGTTTTTTTAAGTACCATGGGTCATTCTTCAAAAATGGATTTTAAATTACACAATGTGAATTTCAGCTATAATAGCTATTCATGGGAGGTCAATTAAATTCGTTATTTTCTTTTTACTTACAGATCTAACCATGAAATTGAAAGTATTCTTAGAAATATTGCCCTAGAAAACATTTAAGTGGACAATTATCTGTAAAATAATCCACAAGGTATATAACTCACCTTTTTCTTCCCAAATGTGCTATTTTCCTCCAATTTCCTTTATCTGTTCTCCCAGTCCTTTCTCATTTTACTGATAAGCAAGTTCCTTATTGCTACCAGGTGAATCTTCCTAAATACCACTTTCATCCTCTTCCTTTTCTACATAAAACCTTTCAGTGGCTCCCAATTGCAACAAAAATGAAATGAAAACACCTTAGCCTGGCATTTCAGCGTATAATCTGGCTGTAATAACAGCAGTAGCATTTTTCAGGTGCTGATCACACACCAGGCCTTGTGGGAAGTGCTTTATATCATCTTATTTCATTCCTCACAACAATCCCCAAGAGGTAGGAACTATTATTGGATGCTTTTTTCTGGAAAATAAACTAAGGTTTAAAGAATTTAAGTACCTTGTCCAGGGTCACATAGGTTTCAAGTGGAGACACCAATATTTAAACTCCAGCAATTTGATTCAAAAGCCCATGTACTTTCTCTTTTATGATTCCACCTGTGCTGTAGCCTACCTTGGCAAATTATGACTTGCTATTCTACTAAGGCAGTCTCATCACTCTCCTCCCAATTTGCCACTTTCATTCCCAACCCTCAGCCTGTGCTCACACCCTGTCCCCTTCTATTCTATTAAGATCCTACCTATTCTACAAGGCCCAGCTCAACTCCAATATGCTCGAACTTCATATTCTCCGACCACCCCATAGCATGGACCACCTCCTCTGCTAATTTTAACCCTTAATTATAGTCTTTCTGGTGTTGTCTATAGCTTATCATCCCTCACCTAACAAATGTCCAGAGGGCAGGAACAACCAGTTGTACCTACAATAATGCTATTATCATGGTTGGCATTTTATAAATGCTTGCTGACAGCATAAATGCGGAGAACTATGCAAAATGAACACTGTGAACTTCACAAGTACTATTTTTTTAATCAGTGTGTGTACACATACATAGTTACACAGGTATTATCTCCCTGGAATCTCTAAGCTATGTTCTACAGGATTGTGTAAATGCATTAAGCAAAATATCACTAAAACTCAAAATAGCACATAGCTTTTGACCTTTGAAGCATTAACATACGTGCAGAAAAGTGCAAAAAATTATAAATGTACAGTTCAATGAATTTTCACAAATGAATACACCATGTAACCAACCAGTTACCAGATCAAGAAAGGACATTGTGGGATCCCTGGGTGGCGCAGTGATTTAGCGCCTGCCTTTGGCCCAGGGCGCGATCCTGAAGACCCGGGATCGAATCCCACGTCGGGCTCCTGGTGCATGGAGCCTGCTTCTCCCTCTGCCTATGTCTCTGCCTCTCTCTCTCTGTATGTGACTATCATAAATAAATAAAATTTAAAAAAAAAAAGAAAGAAAGGACATTGTACCCTAGAAGTTCCCCTCATGCCAGAAAGGTAACTGCTATTCTGATTTCTAATACTATAGATTAATTTTTCCTGGAAAGTCTTTTTTTTTTTTTAATTTATGATAGTCACACAGAGAGAGAGAGGCAGAGACACAGAGGGAGAAGCAGGCTCCATGCACCGGGAGCCCAACATGGGATTCGATCCTGGGTCTCCAGGATCGCGCCCTGGGCCAAAGACAGGCGCCAAACCGCTGCGCCACCCAGGGATCCCCTAGAAAGTCTTTTTAAATTATTATAATTGTATCTAACTGGGAAAGCAAATAAATATATGACTCAAATATGCCATTTTACAAAGGGGGGGGCAGCCCAGGTGGCTCAGCAGTTTAGCACCACCTTCAGCCCAGGTCGTGATCCTGGAGACCTGAGATCGAATCCCACATCAGGCTCCCTGCGTGGAGCCTACTTGTCCCTCTGCCTGTGTCTCTGCCTCTCTCTTTCTCTGTGTCTCTCATGAATAAATAAATAAAATCTTTAAAAAAAAAAAAAAAAAGAATGGTCCACTCTGCTTAAGTCTCTTAGAAAATGGCCCTGAATTTAAATCTTACATATATTCTTATAGGAAATTATTGATAAAATTGTTACAAATTAGTCAATAAACTAACTTCCAATATGTAGTTTCTATAAGTACAATATAGGCAATAGCAATAGCAAAAGAGAAAAAAAGAGGCAGATTTCACACACTATCACCAACAGTGACTGTGATTCCATGTACAAATAAAACATCTTGATAAAAGGTGAAAATGCTAATCATCTCTTGGTTTGTTGATGGTATAACCTACAACTCAGGAAAAAAAAATCCATCACTCAGTCCGTTTGCTACTATCACCAGCCAGACTCCAAGACCTGACCTTTACTGCCTACCTGCTTGGCCTCACAGATCTCTGTCCTACTTTTTCCCTTAATCTCTTCTTTCCAGTTTATCTCTTAACTCAGGCAAACGGAAACCAAAACCACACCTTAAGTGATAGCAACTGCCCTGCAAGGCATCCAACCAGCTCAGACTACCCAGACCAGTTTGAGCTTAACCCCTGACGCACAACTACACTGGTGTGCCATGGAGTGACTTCTAGAATGACTGACAACTACCTTTACCTCATTATAATACTAAAATCTCCACCCAAGGAGGAGCAAAAGCCTCATTTACATAACATACAATGTATGTACAGGAATGTTCCTTAAGGTGCATGTGGGATCTTACGCTTGCCTCTACAAACAATGACAAGGATATCCCTTTTTAAACATTCATTCTAACTCTAAATAAAAGAAACCCATGGACCCTTGCTTGAGGAGTCACCATTTTGGAAGTTTTTCTCTGTGATCTCCTTATTGGTTACAAATAAAGTTTCCATGTGTGACAACTCACTTGGGGTAGTTTCTATGTATGACTTACCAAGGAGTGTATTCACATTAATTCAGTTACACTACTACCTGTGGGCCTCCTTACCTGCCCAGTCCAGGAATTCAACACACTCAGTCTGGGAATACCGAGCAGCAACATCTCGAGCTCTTTCTTCTCGGAAGTTCAGAGCTTCTATATCAACATCCAACTCCACTAGTGCTTTCAAAGTTTCCAAACGACCCCAGGCTGCAGCACAGTGTAAGAGTGTGTAACCTAACAAATAGAATGAAGATGGTCAGGTCAAATAGACTATTGCTTTAGGCTGTTTTACTGAACAGAAGATCTTAATGACATTCAAATCTTGAACAATTACTGTGAGCTAGGCACTATTCTAAGTACTTTATATATGATAAACTAATTTAGTTCATAAAAACCCTATGAAGTCAGAACTATCATAATCCTCGCTCTCCAGATGAGGAATCAGAGGTCCAGAGAGGTTAAGAAGGAAACTCAAATCCAGAAACTTGCCCAAGGAGCACAGCCAGTAAATGATGGATGCAAGATACCAGCACAGGTATCCTGAAGTCTGAGTTCTTCAACATCTTCTAAGAAGACAGCAACCTCCCTAGAAGCAATCTATTTTGGAACACAATTAAACCCATTACTCTAGTCTAAGGGATTTTCAGTAAACTCAAATTATGCTAGCATTATTGTCAATAAAATCATATGAATTATGACAACAGTGTAAGTCTTTGGTTTGGAAATTAATCATTTGAATTAAAACTGAAATCATGACCCATCAAATTATAAAGTTGTTTTTTAGACTTGCTGAGACAACTACAATGAGGGTAAAAAACAAGGAAGGTATCATTAAAATTTTTTCACACTGGCTTAAAATAATCAAGTCAAAAGTTCATTGTTTTAACTTACCCACAGGATATATTTATGACTCATTTAACTGGCCAAGAGGCATGTATTGCTACTACAAGAAGAATTGAGCAAAAGAATGATTACATGTCCTGACTCTACTACATACTGGGCACTTTATGTACTACTATTTCTTTCAACCCCTTCAAGAACCTATGAGGTTGGTATTGTTAGCCCCATTAAAAAATAAAGGAAAGTGAAGGTCAGAAAGGCTATCCCTTGCCCAAGGCCATAGGTAGTAAGCAAGACTCAAACTCAAACCCAGGTCTGTTGCCAAATAAAGGGTTTATAAGGAGTAGGAAACAGCACCTTAATGCTTGTCACTGAGCAGAGTAGGGAAAAAGAGAATAGTGATTCCTCCACTTCCTTCCAGAAACCTCTCCTTGACTCCCTACTTGCCACATTCCCACCATCCCAGGTCTATTTTACATCAAGTTGTAAGGATATCATTAACAGAAGGGTTAGTAAGGGAATCAAAAGGAACATGAAGTGAACTACTCCAGGATCAGCCAAAATTGGTATTACATCTCCTCTTTGGCCCAACTTCTTTTTTCTTAATATCACAACAAATGAGAGATTTCAAAAACAAAGAGATAGAGACAGCCCAAAATTTCTTTGTGCCTTTATACACTACAAAAAAAGAAGAAAAGAAATACCCTGATACTACTTTCATTGTTCTTGCCTTTTGTCTGAAGACAGAAGTTTTCAATCAGCCAAAAGATCCAGGTTCCCTGATTTGCTGGGGGAGGGAGGCGCTATCTATTGACAAGATGCTGTGAGCATGAGCAAGAAGCCATTCCAAATGCGATGTCTGGCTCCTTATATTGCTCTTCTCAAGGCTGAAGTTATAGGCCACTGGTAACATCTATTTTTTTCTCTATTTAATATACATGGTTTAAAACAAGAAAATAAGGGGATCCCTGGGTGGCGCAGCGGTTTAGCGCCTGCCTTTGGCCCAGGGCGCGATCCTGGAGACCCGGGATCGAATCCCACATCAGGCTCCCGGTGCATGGAGCCTGCTTCTCCCTCTGCCTATGTCTCTGCCTCTCTCTCTCTCTCTCTCTCTCTCACTGTGTGCCTACCATAAATAAAATAAAATAAAAAACAAAAAAAAACAAGAAAATAAAAATAAATTTAAAAAAAACAAGAAAATATTTCTAAACAGAGGCTTTTAACAAAAAATGTGCATGTTTTTAAAACACCTTTACAGGTGTTTTATCCCTTTGTTGGAAATGATCTGTTTTCTAGAAAGAAACACACAGATCCTTATAGTACATAACTCTATTGCCTTCTCAGAAGAAGAAAAACCATTTAAATAAGATGATTTCAAAAGCATTCAGAAGAGAAAGGGATTTTCCTAAAGTCTTCCCATAACGTTGGTAATGAGTGCTGGGTCCCAGGAGAGGGATACAGAAGGTCACATGTTAGAAATCCAAGTAGGAAAAAAGGTACCATAAATGGAACTGGGAAGGATTGGGGCTAATTCTAAGAGAAAAATAATCTCTTTGTGGAAGACTCCTGGTTACTAAATACAGAGTGACTAAATACTAAAAGACCACTGGTTCAGTTACCTAAAATAGGGGCAAGTATACCACAATATGAGCAATACTGTAATACCCAAATCTAATACTGTGATTACTATACTGCCTATCATCAACTGCCTATACCTCAACTCTTCTTTGTCTGGTAAACTCTTGGTCATTTTCAGGATTCAATACAAATATTGCCTCCTTTGTGAAACCTTCCCTGACCATGTCCAATGCTTCCAGGTATAGTTCACTTGTATCTCTCCTCTAAGCTATCTCATACCTTATCCCACCATATAGTAATTATTTATTTACAGATGTGTTTTCTGCTAAACTGTAAACTTGTCCAAGGGTGAATTCATTCAGCTTTCTATCCTGTTTCCAGGACAAGGTCTGGCTGTTCTTCCACCCTTAATAAATCGTTGCTGATTGTATGAGACAAATTTTAAGATGGTAACTAGTTCTGGTCGTGCTTGTTTGAGTATGGTCAAGTTTAGTGACCAAAGCCTTGCCAGAACCAGAGGAGGTTTTATCATCAATAAAGTACAAACTGAAGAGACCTGTCCTTGGATTAATAAGAAAATAAGGCACTTCCCAATAGACCAGAAGTCAGGAGTACAGAGAGATGAGACAACATAACTGTTTCATCCTCCTCCTTCTTTTGGATCAAGTGTCCAATTCTCCAGTATTTAATAGGAAAGGAAATCCTGAAAGTAAACATGGTTCATCAATCACCTTGAAAATCATTTTCTTTCCACTTCTCAGTATCATCCACAAATAAATGGCATAAATCTTATTACTTTATAGACATATGTACTGCAGTCCTTTAACCAAAAGTCTTTTAATTCTAGGCCAATGGGTTCTTATGTTCCAATACATCCTCAGAGTTATAGATAGATAGATAGAGATAGATAGATAGATAGATAGATAGATAGATAGATAGATATACACACACACAATGAGTTGTTCAGCCTTTTAAAAAGAAGGAAATCCTGTCATTGCAACAACTTGGATGAACTTGAAGGACATCATGTTAAGGGAAATAAGACAGAGAAAGCCAAATACTGTACAGTATCACTTTATGTGTCATATAAAAACAAAGAACAAAAAGCCAAAAAAAAAAAAAAAAGTTGAGCCCATAGAAATAGAGTAGGAAAGTGCTACCCGGGATCCCTGGGTGGCGCAGCGGTTTAGCGCCTGCCTTGGGCCCAGGGCGCGATCCTGGAGACCCAGGATCGAGTCCCACATCGGGCTCCCAGTGCATGGAGCCTGCTTCTCCCTCTGCCTGTGTCTCTGCCTCTCTCTCTCTCTCTCTCTCTCTCTCTCTGTGTGTGTGTGTGTGTGTGTGACTATCATAAATAAATGAAAACTTAAAAAAAAAAAAAGGAAAGTGCTACCCAGGGACAGAGGGGCGAAAAAAATAGGAAAAGGTTGGCCAAAGGGTAAAAACTTTCAGTTATAAGATGAGTAAGTCCTGAGGACCTAATGTATAACATAGTGACTATAGTTGATCATTATTTTATAATTGAAATTTGCTAAGAGAGTAGGACTAAAATGGTTTCACAAAAACAAAAACCACAACCTCTTGGGACACCTGGGTGGCTCAGTGGTTGAGCGTCTGTCTGCCTTTGGCTCAGGGCATGGTCTTGGGAGTCCCGGGATTGAGTCCCACATTGGGCTCCTTGTATGGAGCCTGCTTCTCCCTCTGCCTATGTCTCTGCCTCTCTCTGCCTCTCTCTGACTCTCACAAATAAATAAAATCTTAAAAAAAAAAACACACAATCTCTTGATTTGATCTGTTCTTTCAGGTGAACAAAGCTCATGGGACCTTGAATCATACAAATGAAACAAGAAGCTTACTGGTAAACTTTAATGTGATTCATTATCTTACAAAGATTAAAATAATAATTGCCAAGTGGACTGGTATAATTAGGTTGGCCAGTTCATGCATACTTTATAAAATCATCTTCATGGAATACCAAATCATTATCACACATAATGCTCAGAATACCACTTGATTCCTTCCTTTCCCTATAAGAAATTCTACACTGGAAACAAATATCACTAGAAGATATAAGGGGATAGCTGTATTGGTTTCTTTGCTGTCAAAACAAATTAGCACCTAAAATTTAGCACCTAAAAATAATACCCATTTATCATTTCATAGTTCTGAAGCCCAAGTTCAGCATGGTTCAGCTAGGATTGTGACTTAAAGTCTCAGAGGCCTAAAATCAAGGTGTTAGCCAGCCCACGCTCCTATTTGCAGACTGCAGGAATTTCTGATTCCAAGCCCATTTAGGAACTCATTTGGCTCATTTAGGATTCAGTTATTTGAGGTTGGAGGGCTAAAGTCAGATTCCCTGCTGGCTGGTTGTCAGAAGCCTTTTTCAGCTCTGCCTGCTACCTCCATTCGTTGTCACCTTGTCCCTGTATCTGCAAACAGCAACACTACTTTCTCATGCAAGAAACCTCTCTGATCTCCTTTTCTAAATCTCTTCTAATCCCAGCTAGAAAAATTCCTCTACTTTTAAGGACTCATGTGATTAGACCAACCTTCTCAAAAATCTAGGTTAATCTCTCCATTTTAAAGTCTATATGGGGGTGCCTGGATGGCTCAGTCAGTTACGTATCTCACTCTTGATCTCAACTCAGGTCTGCATCTCAGTGTCGTGGGTTCAAGCCCCGTGTTGGGATCTGCACATACTTTTAAAAATAAATAAAACAAGCTTCAACACTAGGTAAGTGTACTTCAGGTTTTTGATAGAGAGCCTTAAAGAAGGTTTCTTCTATTTTGCGAAGAGCATTCATCATGAATGAGAG